CAGTTTTGTTTGTACTTTTTGTTAACAAACATAATAATAAAAAATGTTCATTGTGGTAAAGGAAATAATAATTTGTTCTAAGTAAGAGTTTCTTTTCTTCTAGATTTGTAAAAAAAGCCTTTGCGTGTTAGAAAAAAAATGAATGTTATTTTCGAAGTCTGCGTAGCGGAATTATGGAAAGTCCGTTATTAAAGCCAAAACAATTTTTATGAAGGTTAAATTCGCAGGCCCCAAACGGTGTTTGCTATGAAAAATTTCTTTAAGAGAACAGACCAAGCACACACCACACATCTTTCAGTATTTAAGCAAATACACTGTATATAAATGTATATATGAGGCTGCTTTTCCCAGAAACAATACACACACACCCAGCATTTTTTATGGTGTGTTATCTGAATGTTATTGAAATGAACAATGGTCTTTCCTTCCTTAGTTGGCATGGTTAACGTTTTCGTCATATTCAATATCATAAAAGTTTTAGATGTATTTTTAGATTCTATAATAAAAGAAAAGGTGTTGTTACTGTAGTACCATATAATGATATTATTTTGTCCCCCGGTGTGACAACAGTAAGTCTACTGAGTTACAACGCTAAAATCCGTGTTTCGATTCCCGCCAATGGATCCAGCGTATAGCCCAGTGTGGTGTTGCTCTAAAAAAACGAACAAACAAACAAGCATATTATTTCTCCTCTTCTACTATGAGCATTCATCCATACTGCTTGAACCCTGTCAACCAGAACCATAGAACTTAGGGATTATCTTAAAAATAGGATCCTTCTAATAATCTAATTGTGTGGATATTTGGAAGTGAATGTAAACAACACAATGGAACTGCCAAATCTGAAATCCCGAAAGCACTGTAAAACCCAGATAGTAATAAAAAATTACATCTGGATTAACGTGCGAGTGATGAGTTTACCCATAGATGATTTCAACTTTTTCTATCTATATTTTAAAATAAAATATCGATAATTGAAATAATCAAACAAATGATTTACAAATACCATATTAGATACTATGATTAATTTCATTTGTAGCTCCAGAAATATTCTTGAAAGAGTTTCAGTTCAAATCCTACTGTCTCTTAAGGCATTCCGCAATAGAAAAAAACCGACAGTAACTCAGATTAGATTGTATGCAGTAAAATATGGGAATGATGTGAACGAAGACAAGACTAGTTAAACAGATACATCTTTTTATTGTGGTGATCGCAAATATTTTAATCAAATTCAAAACAAACCTGAAGTTACGTTAGGACTAAAAGCTTTGATTGTTTTTTCGTTGTTGTTTTACACTCCGTTCTAATCTGTAAAGACCCAAATAATGTAACTGTGTGAGTAAGACACAAAAACTTCTAACTAAGTTAAACCAGATCAAAAAGAACAATGTTAACTAACAACATAAACTACAAAGAAATACAAAATTACAACAACAACAAAATAAATTTATAATCAAAATGCCTAGTAGGAAGATCCTTTAATAATTGGTTATCAAGTTGAATTGTAGCTTGAACACTAATGTGAAGATCTAAATTATGAACCAAAAAACACTTGTACAGAAGTTGGGAAATGGTTCCTAATTTTTAGTGCATTATAATATCTATATTTATTTCCTTCTACAGTCCCTTACATTTGCGATCAAACAAATTAATTGATAACTTCGTCACGTCTAATTGTTGCTTTATATTTCATACCTTCGTAATCCTCAATGCTCACCAAATCCTCATTCATGTTATGTTAAACACAGGAGTTAAGTAAAAAAAAAAAGTATTGAAATCCAAGGCAACAGTAAGACGTTCTGGTGTGTTTTATTTGAAATCACTTGGTATGGATGACCATTATTAATATAACAATTAACTTCTATAGTCACATAAATAATAATTCTAACAATAAGATACACAGGTTTATTTAGATTAAAGGAATAAAGCTCGAAGAAACTGATTCATCTAGATTTAACGTTTTCGTTTTGAACAAATAATCGTTTGTTCATTTCTTTCTTGTATGCTTGTGAATCATTCAGACTGGAGTGCCAAATGATTTGACTATAGAGGTAAATTTACCTAACTTTAAGGCAGAATATTTAGTCTATTATTAAATATATATTTATAATGGTAATTTACTGGAAAATGAGCAACTGATGTGACTGTTAGTTATCACATTCACTTGTAAATGTGTTTGTTTTCATTTAAAAACATTAGGCAAACCGCTTTTTAGAATTTATTATATTATTATATTAAATTGTTTATTAGGAAAACGCTTCGACTACTGATCTGAGACGTTTTTACCGGGTGTCTTACAAACTTTTTATTGTTTCTATTTTTCGAGTTTATTTCTTAAAATAACTCATAATATACCATTTTTATCAAAGATTAAAGCATAAAAAAAGAAAAATGTACTTAAGACGCATTAAGAATCAAAATCAAATCTTAAATAAGAATAGAAATTATTTCTCCTTAGCTGAATATTAATTAGGTGGTTGTATCACCTATTATTTGTAAGCACTTCTCACGTGGTTGTGTCACTTGGTATTTTTAAGCACTTCTCGTGATAAGAACAAAGAAAGTATTGAACTTTGGCAAAACAGTTTAAGTTATTTTGAGTAGGTTCGTATGTAGTCATGTAAGCCAATATCAAACCCCCTTGCACGACTGACTATGTACGAATTTAGGAAAAGCATAACGATTTACTGATACAGAAACGTTGGCGAAAACAACGGTGCGTTTGAAGATGTCGCGAGTGTTCAAGTCTTAGAGGAACTAGTTCTGAAAACTTCTTCAGTAAAGCCATTTGTTCGACGTTGTATCGTGTCGTTGACTTCAGTTTTAGTTCTGTTATATGTCCTTACAATTAGTTTCAGTTTCTGTTTCTTGACAAACAATTTCGTAGGTTCGTGAAGTGAGAATAAAATCTATCCTGTAAATCGATGTGGTTACATCGTAATAATATGTAAAATAGACCATAATATTGAAAACAAAACAAACTGTGATATCCAATGGAAATGTATAATTATGTATTTAATAATTTCTCAGTGTTTGTTTTATACCATGTGTAAATAATAATTATTTTATGGTTACTTATCCTTCATGGCTGTAACTTTATCAATTAATAAAAATAAAAACTACAACGTGATATCTTGCGTATTAACTGGCTAATTGTTTAAATAGTTTAATGTTTACGATAAACTAAACTAAAAAAAATAACCGTTTTGCAAAATTCATATTTGATTTGTGTATCGTTTATGCTGAAAAATTAATGAATTAACATATATGGACTATAGAGATTGTTCTAAAATAATAGAAATAGAGAAAATGTTCAGCTAAACGTTCTTTCAAAACAGTATAATTAAACTAATTGTACTCTTAAAACCCCCATCAACTGTACTCTTGTTTGTATTTAATAACAATAGACTTGAACCAATTGTACACCTGCTGAACCAAGTATTCACTTGTTTAAATTCATTAAGGATAGAGCGAGCTGAACTAACAAAATTCTGCTTGTAAGTAATACTGTTATGGCTAAACAATACTTAGTTACATTATAACGAAACAATAGTATTAGGCCTATTATATTTTTAACACCACATTCTTTATCTTAGCCCCTTAGGGATTTTAAAGGACTTGTATTGTTTGTAATTAAGCACAACGCTACACAATGGGCTATCTGGGCTCTGCCCACCACGGGTATCGAAACCCGGATTCTAGCGTTGTAAGTCCGCAGACATACCGCTGTTTTAAAGGACTAGAAGAGTGTATAATAATAGTATTCCAACCACACGCTGTTTGCTATATACATTACCGACGATGAGTTTCGCTCACTCCAGAGCTCATCATGCGTGAAGTGTTAAAATATATAATAGGTTTAATATTAATATCTAGTGACAACAATAATTAATTATAATCACGCTTCGCGAGCTTGAAAAATAGCATTCACACCATAACCATTGTTGGTGTTTTATCAAATGACGTATATAAATAATGTTAGACCACAAATGTGTTTGTTGTTTTCCAGTCGTTCTGATGAGCTCTGGATTGAGCAAAACACATCGTCAGCAATATAACATTGGTAAAATATTTATAACATATATAAATAGAAAAATAATTATGTCACTTGAGTGTACAGCGTTTGGTACCTGATGATGACAAAACCTTGTCGAAACGTTGTACATTTGCTGTTATGTTAAACTTATATTAAAGTTTTTCTTCATTACCCTTTCAAGCCGTCTCCAGCCATTATTAGAGATTATATATATATATATATAACACGCATAAACACACACAAATATATATATATATATTGATACACACAAGTGATGGAGCTTTTTAAAATATATATTGTAGTTAGTTAAATATTCTATTATGGAATCAAACAAAAGATGCTGAGTGCGGTTACCCAATTTTAATAAGTATACTGATAATCGTGAACTTGGGCACTAACTCCTTCAATAAACACCATAATTGACTGATATCGCATTACATATGGTACTAACGCTCCCGGAAAGGCATTAACGGAAACTAGGAAAAGTAAACTGGAACAAAACTTGTTTTTTGACTAATTCCAAGGGAATGGTTGGAGACTGTCGGTGCCTTTAACGAGTCAGAGCAAGGTGACCAAGGAAGTGTAAGATCTCTCTCTTTCTCTTACTCACTCTCTTTACACAACAGAAATGTTCTTTGTTTGGTGCTTTGATGCATGTCATTCGGTTACTTTGAACCAGGAGATGCATGGCACAAACAAACTAATTCGTCTCTCGTTCTCTCTGTGGCTAAAAGATGGACGTAAAGAGGGTATTTAAGGCTAGAAGACTCCAAGGGTTAGTATCAAAGATTTCTGTGCAGTGTGAGTAGACACACTTACAAGATAGCGTCTCTCCTGTCCAAACACGTTATAAAAAACACCACAAAAGGAATCTAGAAAGACATTACATCGTTTAGATATTTGATTAGAATGCACTTATCAAGGGCCTTGAGGGTAAGTCTGCATATGTCACTTTGATTTAGTGGTAAACATTTATTGTGTATGTCATTAAACTAATTACAGTTTGATGTAACCACAAAGGTATGGTGAGATAATTGACATGATTATTCTTGATGTAAATTGAAATAACGATCGTATTAAATTATAAACCCCAACCTAGAAGTAAGTAAATATCTTAAGCTACTTAGCGTTGTTTTTTTAGATCTATAGCAACATTGAGGTTTTGTCGCAGAAACTGTTAATGATCCAGTTTATAAATAACTCAACAACTATTTAAGTACCATTGTAAAAGGATGTTACTATACGTACCTCTTAATTACTTTCATTTGTTGAAACCTGTGACGACATTTTGAGAAGATTATCATATTTAAAATGTATTTTGTTATGAAAGCCCCAATTTCTTACCAAATCTTTTTAAAATCATTTATTAAAAATACAATATTTTTTATAAGCTGTTACTCTTTCATTTGAATTGTGCAGGTCCATGTTGGCCTCTGTGTGCTGTTGGTTTCTTTGGCCATTGCCGAAGAAGTCAAAGAAAAGGAAAATGTTGCTGACATCAAGGCAGAAGAAGCACAACAAGTAGATCTGCAAGTTGCCGAGACTGGTTATGGTGGAGGATACGGAAAAAAACACAATTATGGTCATGGTTACGGCCATTATGGAGGCGATTATCATCATGGTGGAAAAGATTATAAAAATCACGATGATTATGGAGGTAAGCACAAATACGACAAGGGAGGGCATTATTATGATAAATATGGTAAAGACAAACACGGATATTATGGACATGGCGAAAAGCACGGAAAAAAGTACGGTAGCGACCAATATGGCGGCAATGGTAAAAAAGGAGGTCATTATGGAGACGACTATTATAAGGCCTACGGACATAAAAAACATGGTAACAAGAATGTGTACCACAAGGAAGAATACAAGGATGACAAATCATATTATGATGATTTCCATGACAAAGACTATGGAAAGAAGTATAAAGACTACCATGACTATTATGACCACCATGCTGGCAAACACTATAAGAAATATGACAACAAGAAATATCATGGTGGAAACAAATATGGTGACGACTACCACAAATACGGAAAGGGAGGATACGATGACTATTATGGCAAAGATTACAAGGATGGAAGTAAATACTACAAGGATGGGCATGGATATAAGAGTGGTGGAGGTGGCTACAAAAAAGGTGGCTACGGAGGCTATAATAATCATGGTGGTGGTGGATACGGAGGACATGGCGGTGGCCATGGAGGATATGGTGGCGGTGGCTATGGAGGGCATGGTGGCGGTGGTTATGGAGGATATGGTGGCGGTGGCCATGGAGGATATGGTGGTGGTGGTGGTTATGGAGGATATGGAAAAGGTGGTTATGGGGGGTAATAATGGTTATGGCTATGCTGGCAGCGAAAATCTCTTGACCTTCTCTGAAGCTTTTGGTGACTATAACAAAGGACTTTCATTCTAAGGTCTCGTTTATCCCTCTGCTTACTAAGCAATTGTACCAAAATAACTTAATTTCAGCTTATTTATGTAAACATATATATATATATATATATACAGAGTTTCCCTGGTAGAAAAACGAAAAATTGTAACACCATAAGACTTAAACCAAACCTTCGCGGTTTTGTTTTGTACAGTACGTGATAATAATATTCATAGTCACCTTACATAATTATTTATCTTCTAACCTATTTTAATATATTGCGATTAAAGTATGACATCATTAATGTTACGATTAATAAACCTCAGCTGAAAATATTACAGAAGATGGTTTCAAATGCAACAATAAAAGTACACATCATGTAATGCGAATCATGTGTTGTTTCGTGAAATGAAAGCGTTTGATATCTGCTCTCGCAACATCTTTGCTTCTTTTGCACTCGAAAACAAATTTAAATGGTTACTTTGTATCTGTCCAGTTCCTATCTATCCAGTGGCACAGCGGTATGTCTGCGGATTTACAACGCTAGAATCCGGGTTTCGATACCCGTAGTGGGCAGAGCACAGATAGCCCGTTGTGTAGCTTTGTGCTTAATTACAAACAAACTTATCTATTTTGCTAATATACTGTCTATGTCCGTCGTTCGTTAAATGATGTAACATAAGGTTATCGGTAATTTAGGTGTAAATATGAATATTACAACTTCTCATAAAGGATTATTAATGTATATTTGAGAAAACACTGGTTTTATCTAATTCTCATAGTGTGAAATTGCGAGAAACCTTAATTTAGGCACAAGAAGCTATTTTGTGTATGTTTTTAGATAATTAAACAAACCATAACTGAATATTCAGATAAATAAGTCTACAAATTTCAGAGCTCTCTCCGTTCTTATCAGCGGAATATAACTGTATCAATTAAAGCCTATGGCAGTTATTTGTTAGAGACACATTTTTTTGTGTATGTTTCTACAACAGACAGGATACATTACTCAAGTGAATGTATTTAAATATATATCAAATAAATATATTATTATATAATACCTGTGTTTTGAATTCTTTATACATGTATACACACACACACAGATATATAAGTATTCATTATCATATATTAATATTATCAGTGCTTACATTGGTAGCAATGAAAGCAAACAAGCCACAAAAATATAGAAATTTCCACCTTGCATTTTATATCCAATGCCCAGAGAATATTCTATTGGCTATTGATTCTAATTTATTAGCGAAAGTAAATAAAAATATATAATAGTATGTCAACCACATGTTCTTGATAAACTAGAAAGGTAAAAAAACGTACTAATTCAACTGCTAATCAACACGTTAAAAGTTAACTTAAAGGTAGTGAAAGAGTGATCAATTTTAACTTTCACACCGAAACCATCGTTCAGAATATATGTCATTTATGTGCATTCTTAATTAAAATCAATTTGCTGTAGTTTTACAACGTCAGTATTTGTGATCTCACAACTGAATCTGTTATAATTTTATTTTAAATAGGCATTTCGCCAGAGTGAAGTTTTTAGTTTCTGTCACATGAAGCGTTGTGCAATTAACGTGTTGATAGCAGAGAAAGTATAGTTGGATTATAATGTTTTTTAACGTGTTGATAGCAGTTCAATTAGTATGTGTTTTAACGTTTTGATAGCAGTTCAATTAGTATGTTGTAACATGTTGATAGCAGTTCAATTAGTAAGTTTTTTAACGTGTTGATAGCAGTTCAATTAGTATGTTTTAACATGTTGATAGCAGTTCAATTAGTATGTTTTTAACGTGTCGATAGCAGTTCAATTAGTATGTATGATTTTATTGAAATAGGTAGCACCACAAAACAATCAACTATTTATGGAACTCAAAACTAGCATGTCTACAAAATAATCACTGCAAGATATTTCACTATATTCAGTTTGACACAGAGTTAATTTCTTAAAACACATAATATTAAGTTAATATAGCATTCTTGAAATAAATTAAGCTATAAAAAAAATAATAACGTATAAACAATCGAAACTTCTTTTCAAATTTTCAATACAAATGTGTCTTAATTTACTAACTTTTGTGTATCAAGTTATCAACAAATCTTCTTAATTTTCAATTTCATTATTTAACAGTAGATTCACTGACAAAAATAAGAGCCGTAGTTTCCCTTAATGTAGTATTAACACAGATAGAGACGTTAGTTCTTGATTATACACTTAAACTTCGCAAGTTATTGATTAAATTAACCTCCTTTAAAAATATTCCTATGAAAATACGTGCAATAATTTGTTTGTTTGTTTTTGAATTTCGTGCAAAGTTACCCGAGGGCTATCTGCGCTAGCCGTCCCTAATTCAGCAGTGTA